TGCCTTTCAGTCATCACCAGGATGATCTAGAGAGAGCAGAATCCACAAAGTCATCTACATCGGGTTACTCATCATCTAAAACAAGTGGATCACGGGATTTCGACTCTGATGTTGAGACTGTTATATATGATAATATGTAAGATAACTGCTGAATTTCAGTTCATTGATATAGAAGGCAATGCCAATACCTTTTACTTTTCTGTTTGAAAACAGACAGGTGATCTGTGACATTTGTCGCAAAATTGCTGCTGTGAAGACCTGCCTGACCTGCAACGTTTCCTTCTGTGAGAAGGATGGCCGGCAACACTACAAAGTGGATGCCCTGAATAGACATAAGCTCATAGATGTGTGCAGTGAAGTCGAGAGAAAACGGTGTCGTCATTATGAAAAGTCTCTGGATTTCTTCTGCAGGACTGATCAGATGTCTATTTGCAGCATTTGTGCAGAGGGGAAACACAGGGGACATGACATCACTGAGCACAGGGCATGGAGGACACAACAGGCAAGTGAAAGTGAAAGGGTGATATCGAAATCATCGGTGATGTGCTACATTTTGTTTACAATCGCTATTTAATTACAGTTGTCTGATGATGAAGAACCCGAGGACTATGAAATGCCACACAAAGGTGACTGACACTATATAATGATTCACTATGGCATCTAAGTAACAATGATCTGTGGCTACAATAAGAAATCAATGGAGAGATTCACCATTTAATGAAGTTTTGACACTTTCCTCTTTTCATATAATTTATATGAAATTAATACAGGGAAAAAGACTATCAAATTTTGTTCGGAAAGTTCAGTTTCAAAGCAGAAAACAGAAAGTAATGACCTTCGTTGATGAATATATATGGATGAACTGCTGACAGCTTATAGCTGAAATGCATTTATATTGCCATCTGTAAATACTCAGAAGTATAATCACCAGTGTGTGTCATTACCTTAGATTTGAAGTTGAGCGCCACAGCAGACCAATAAAGAAATAGAAACATCTAAAATGGTTTTATGAAAGTGTGCGGACTTTACTCTAAAGTCAAAAGTGTAAAACATGTTTTTCAGGTATTAACACATGCATTATCAAATATAACTTATAATGACTAAATTATTGAGTCATTCTTTGGTTTTAAGACAAGAAATTATTTTTTTTAACCATATTTAAAAATTGTGTTTTGCTACATCAGTTGAATTTTAAAAGTCATGATAATGTTGGAATCAAATGAATTCAAATATTTATCTTTTTTTATCGTTAGGTAAATGAGTACAGCGGAAAGAAAATGTTTTCTTATTTTACATTACATTTTCCAGTGGTGCCCCCTCCTGGTAGGATTCAGTTCCCGTCAGTGAAGCCAAACTCGGTGGTCCTCAGCTGGGGAAACCCAAAGGGACTAGAAGGACCCAAAAGCTTCAGGATCATGTGGAGCTCTTTGCAGAAGGTGGAAGGTCGCTTAGTCATCAAAAATTTTCATAAAATAGAAATAAGCAACCTTGAACTTGGACAACAGTATTTCTTCAGCGTGGCCACAGAAGATGAAGATGGCAATTTAAGCGAATGGGTCACTGCAACTGTTTTCACAGGTAAAATCTGAAAATCCACATCATTTTTAGATTTGCTTCACTGTTCATATTTTAATTGGATTAAACAAAATCACTGCTCTCTTGCAGTTGTGCCACCCCCTCGACATTTAACAAAAGAGCACTCCGATGCTACATCTCTGACCTTGAAATGGATGGATGGAGAAAAAATGGAGGGAATTCCTCAACAATTTCTCATAGCTGTTGAAAGTCCAGGAAAAGAGCCTCTGGTGATACACACCCATGATTACTGCAAAAAAGTCTGTGATTTAGAACCAGACACAAAGTACACCATCTCTGTCTCAACAGTGGTGAATGATAGGTGCAGCAAGCCAATTTCTATCTGCACACGCACAGGTGAGATGATGTTAAAGCACTTGCTTTTTAATTATTATTTTTTTTAATGTCAACTATATAGACATATTTGATATATTTGAAGAATTACAACTGCTAGCATTTATTTTCTCACATTACATGTACAGATATACTTTACTGGTACCAATTTTCAAGAACAATTTTACTACAGAAGAATAAAGGTGATGAATGATACCATGAATCTATGGGAAAGAAATGCTAAAGCTAGATTAAGAAGAGAGGTGACGATCAGCGAGCGGCAGTGTGGCTTCATGCCGAGAAGGAGCACTACAGATGCTATGTTTGTGTTGATGGAGAAGTATAGAGAAGGCTGGAAGGAGCTTCACTGTGTCTTTGTGGATCTAGAGAAAGTATATGACAGGGTGTCAAGAGAGGAACTATGTGTATGTGAGGGTGGTGGAGGAGATGAGGACAGCAGAGACAGTGGTGAGGTGTGCGGTAAGAGTGAGAGATGAGTTAAAAGCAGTGTTGGGAAGGTTACTTTTAAAATGTATTCCACTACAGATTACAGAATACATGCACCCAAATATATTTTGTAACAAGCTTTTTACAACTACATGAATGTACTATTGCTGTGTGATTTATTACTATTACTGAAGGATACTTGTCATACCAATACCAACTAGATTTTTAAATCTTAATATAAAATGAGTAACAGTAGGGTGGACATTAGGTAAGGCTGCACTTTTTGCAGCAATCTCGTATAGAAAACTTTTCCGCACGTATATAAAACAGGTTCGCGGCTCCAGACCGCAGTAAAGGGACTTCTGGCTAATACGTTGGGTTCTGTGTCGGACTCGTAGCCGAAAACTAGCTTTACTTTTTTGTTTGGGTCAACTTTGCTAGCGAGAGACAGAGAGAGGTGTTGAAAGGCTGCTTCAATGGAACTTATTGTTTCGGAGGAAAACATGAACACAGTGTACAGTCGAGTCTTAATAGCTTACTTACAACTGGGCTACACTGCCCATAAGGCTACATTCTTTAGGGCTATGCCTGTAACACTTTGCTTGTTGCCTTCATATTAAATAATTTTTTGAAGAATAATTAAAAGGAAAAAAAATCTTAACGTCATTATGCGGGCCGCAAGTAGAGGCGACATGGGCTGCGAGATTGAGACACAGGCATTAGAGCCTCTTAATGCATGTTTTGTTTGGGTTTCCACCAGAAACAGAGAGGGGACCGCGTAACATATGAAACAGGAAAAGACCATCATGTAATCCCTTTATTTCAGCAAAGTAACTGTATTCTGAATACCACCTCTTTAAACGGTAACTGTAACGGAATACAGTTACTCATATTTTGTATTTTAAATACGTAACGCCGGTACATGTATTCCATTACTCCCCAATATTGGTTACAAGTGGTGCTGCGATTGGGGTTTTCAGTGGTGATGGACAGACTGACAGATGAGGTCAGGCAGGGGTCTCTGTGGACTACGATGTTTGCAGACAACAGTGTGGTCTGTAGTGAGACAAGGGAGCAGGTGAAGAGAACCTGGAGAGGTGAAGGTATGCACTTCAGAAAGGAAAATGAACATTAGCAGAAGGAAGAAGGAATATGTGAGGAGGCAGATGGCCTTAGACTGTCATGTTTTGTTATTAAGGCATTCTGCTTCACTTGTTTTAAATTTAAAATAAATGCCATTAAATTGCCAGGTTTTAGCTTGACTTGAGGTTGATGTAAGGCAGTTGTGAATTATATATGTTTTGTGTTGGTTACCAGCCCTTCACACTAAAGCTTTACCATGATCCACTCACTATCTTAGTATGTTATCATGCATCCTCTGTGGGTATCTTGATGCTCAGTTGTGAAAAATAAATTAGTGCTGTCAGCGTTAATCTCGTTAAAATGGCGTTAATGCCATAACCACATTAACACGGCGTTAATAAGCTAACTGTGCTAACACATTTATGCCGTGAAGCCCCACGCATGGAGTGATCCGCAATAACTCGCTAACTGAGATTTGCCGTGTTAATGCGGTTATGGCGTTAACGTCGTTTTGACAAGATTAACGCTGACAGCACTAGAATAAATGCATCATAATCAGTAAAAATGACCTAGTACGCTTACTGGTTTCTTTTGTTAATTCACAGAGCCAAGTCTAAGGCAGGTGTTGTCAAAGATTGGACTGGAAGACCAGTATGACACCAAGCTCACACTTAGCACTGTCCTGGAGATTAATCAGTATGATCGATCACAGAGGAAACCAAAATCTGCAAGGGCAGTTCCTGAGGCCTTTTTAAAGCAACTCATGTTGCTGAATACAAATGCTAGAAGTGCCACATGTGTGTCTCAAGATGGGGACAAGTGCAATGCTATCAATCTTTTGGACTTGGTAACTGCACTGTTCCTTTGTTCAGACAGTGCTCTTCAGCAGGACTTGGTCCTGAAAATGTCACTCTGTCAGTTTGCTGTCCCGCTCTTGCTTCCAAACTCTGAAACAAGAGAAATCACAATGATGCTGTGGTCTATGCGCGACATTGTCCGAACTTTCAGACCCTCTCAGCAGGCGTTCCTAAAGTCATACTGTGATGAAAGACTTGTGCTGTCTGATATTCCTTTGGTATCGTTTGTCAGGCTGGGAAAAACATCTTTGTCCAAATCTCAGATGTTGAACAAGTTGCTGTGCAACAATCAGCAGATTCATCACACATTTTGTCACCGTATCATGGCATGTTGTGATGTTCCCAGAAGAATTTCAGATGGACTGGTGGAAATCAGCTGGTACCTCCCGTGTGGGAACAGGAAGATAGATAAATTCACAGAACCATTGGCTTTTACCAATATGAGAGGAGATATCAAGGCTTCTGAAAGACAATTTGCATTCCTATGTCAGGCATCTGCAGCTGTTTACATCTACTGTGATGAATCAGAAACTAATTACTTCAAGCATCTGGAAGGAAAACATCTGGCAGCAAATATCTTTTTGATAAGCAGTACACAGGGAAAAAGCTATAGACTCAAACAACTGACTGTGAACCCAAGATTAAAGATGACTGATATTAGTCAGATTAAAAAGACTGATACAGAACTACTAAAGGCACTCCAGGAATCAGTCTCTAAAATGCTAGTAAGCCCCCAAACCAAAAAAGTGTCATTGGCAGATTTGGCTTACACAGCTCACTGTTGTCAGATTCTCGTTGATGAGGATAGGGATGAATGCCAGACTGCTTGGGAGAATGCGAGTAAAATCACTGCAAAGGTAACTAACATCTCTGAATTCAAAGACAAGCAACTGCCTTATCAGGGAAACATCTGGAAAGCAATTTCATGGGTGGAAACTGAGTGCTGGAGGCTACGTAAAGTTGGAAACAATAACCCTGGCAATTACTGCGAGTCCATAAAAGAAAAAGAGAAAGAGCTGAGGAACAAGCAGCGAAGTTTTGAGATGACAACTGCAGTGGAATGCTTCCACCATGGGATGACAACCTCAGAGGTTCAACGCTACCATTTTCTCAAATGGCTGGAAATGGAACTGGATAACCTGTCCAGGCATCAACTGTCAGCTCTCCAGGATCGATACAAAGAGCTTAGGCAGAAATCTCTCGAGGAAACAAAAGAAATTGTGTTAACTGACAACCAAATTTCAGCTTGCTCTTTAAGAGTAGTCCACTTTGTCAGAGAGTGTGGGCAGCTGTATAATAATGTGAGTTGCCTGCCAGAATACAGTCGTCAGAGAAAAAACATCGAACAGCTTCCTGGACAGTGTGCTCAGATGATGCTTGATGGTTTCCCTCTTGAGCTTGTTGATGGAGATGCAACAAACATCCCAATAAAATGGATCAGCCAGGTACTTACTGAATTGCATAACATCATGAATTCCAGTAGCAAGCTTAAGGTCATCACAGTCATTGGAGCTGAAAATTCAGGTAAATCAACTTTGCTCAACACCATGTTTGGGGTCAGGTTTGCCGTCAACGTGGGTACATGCACCAGAGGGGCATTCATACAGCTGATCAGTGTCAGTAAAGACATCAGGAAAGAGCTGGGCTGTGACTGCATCATGCTCATTGATACAGAGGGCCTGAAGCCACATCGGATGGTTCGTGATGATCACAGCCATGAACGTGACAAAGAAGTTGCGAGCCTTGCAGTGGCACTCAGTGATGTTGTAGTTGTCAGTATTTCCAACGACAGCTCCAGAGAGAAAGACCTCTGGGAAATGGTGTGTCATGCTTTTGCAAGGCTGAAGGGTGTTAGCAAGAAGAAGCCAGTTTGTCATTTTGTACATACAAACATGTATGACATGCCTGCTTTGGAGCAGCTGAAGAGAAGTAAAGAGCTGATGGAACAGCTCAATGAAATGATCGGAAAAGATGTTAAAATGAAGAAGGCCAACATCAATAAGCTCTCAGATGTGATCAAGTTTGATCTAAACAATTGGAGCTGGTACATTCCTCCAGTGTGGGATGGGACTCCACCAATGGCTCCTGTCAATGTTGGCTACAGTGCAACTGTCTATACTTTGAAAAAGGTTCTAATAAATGACCTCCAAAAGTGCCCGGAACGAGGGGATCTAATTCAATTCATCGGGAAGGTAGAACAATTCTGGAAGACTGTGTAAAGAAAATACATGAAACTGATATGGACTTAGTATATGGCCATAAGCTATCTGACCACAAAAAAGTATTTATTTTCAATATTGTTCACTCATTTTTGTTATTTACAATGTGTTTTCTGAGTCATTAAATGCTGTACAAATGAAACATCAAAGAGGTATATATGCATACTGTGTATGCTTACATAAAATAACCATGTACTATGAGGCAGGTTGTCAGTTAAATTTCACCAAGAGGAAAAATGGTGCAAGGATATGAAACTGATATTCACTGTGTGGTAGACACAAATCACTAGTAATTGTTCTGAAACAGGTATCAAAAAGATATTAAAAATATTGTTTCAGATGCTACTCTGTATAATAAATATTGTTATTCATAACAAAGCATTCATGTTTTCTATGTGTATTAGATATTTCACAGTTAACGCATTCAAGTTTAAGATGAAGATTCTATAAGTGGCATTAAAATATTGAAATTCAGAAAATACATTTTTACATTCATATTAATGTTTCAACAAACTTGTAGATACTAAACTGCATAGTTAGTGACCAATTCACCCAAATTACAAAAACAATAAAGAAACAGAAAATACATCTTATAATTGAAGTTTCACAGTATCTAGTCAGTGCAAACAGGATCTTATTTTTTCAGGCTTTTAAATGCAATTCTTCTGCGAATTCATATGAATTTAAACTTTTAAAGACACCATAGGTTTGGTCTATTCCTGCTGAAATATCACTCTCATCTCTCATTACACACATGATACATATTAGATTTATACAACAGTAACACATTTAAGGGATTTTTATAAGAGGTTTTGCACGTAACTGAAAAAACACCAAGATGTCTTTGTACATGTGAGAAAAACATTAACAGTCTGTAGTCTTGCCAGTGTTGTGTTTAGTGCAGTAGTGTGAGGTTTACTGAAGAATCAACGAGACATCATTCTCACAAACTCTGTGGAAAGAGAGAATATATTTGCATTGTTTGTTGGGAAAAGGGCACTCCCACAGTCATCCACAGTCATCTTAAAAATCTTTAAAAAGATTATATCATCCCTAATTGTACTACACCCCCCCCCCCCACACAAAGACACCACCACAACCGATCTTAACTAAGAGATAAATTGTATCACCTTCAAAGTCCACCTGTCCATCCCCGTTGAGGTCAACATCTCGCAGGATCTCATCGATCTCGCGGTGGTTGAGCTGCTCACCCATTAGCTTCTTCATGGCTTCCCTCAGCTCTCCAAGGCTTATCTGACCATCGCCATCAGAGTCAAACTAGAAAGCAGAATGGAAGGACTTTAAAAGGAAAATAAGCATTTACAAAAAGCAAAACAAAAACATTTTGGAGTGTCAGTTTGAGAAAAGGCCTACTCAGGTTAAGCTGGGCATGCACTGTGCGATTTTTGGCCCATTTTGAGCAGATTTTTCAGTCGTTTTGGGGATCGGCCCGAGTTTCTCCTGTGTCGTGCATCGTGTAGTATACATGGGGTAACGAGAAGCGATTAACACCTCACGACCAGCTCCCAATCATCAATCGTATAGTTGCAAGAAAATCAAACCTGTTTGAAATCCTGTCAGCCCTCATGAGGGTGTCAACGCAGCCTCTCACACTGTGCATGCGCAAACAGAAACGGAGTAGCATGGCAGTGCAGCGTGTAGAACTTTGGCAAGCTCATCTGAGTCTTTTCGATGTGGCCTCACAAAATTATCATGACCGGACCAACGGTGAAAAGAGTTGGATGGACATTTCTGCTCATTGCTAGTCAATGTTTTTCATTAGCAATTTAACAAAGTTGATGGTGGTGGTGGTGTGTGTGTTTGTGTCAGTTAAAGAAAGAGAGGGAGAGAGAGGGAGAGCGAGAGACAGATTTTGTGTTATAAGCTGTTATGGACGCACAGTGTGCATCTCACCCCTGCGATTCAATCGTACAGTTTGAGCAGGAGCTGAATAACGCAACTGAAACAATCGTACAGTGTATGCCCAACTTTAGCATGACTGAGGTATGGACCTCAGTCATTTGTTGCACCTTAAATAGCATACATTAGGAGAAAAAACTCTGGACCGCATTCATTTCTAAACCCTAGTTTAAGCCTGGATATGGTTTTCTGTTTTGCTAAAATAAAATTGCAGACCTCTTTGAAGGCGTCCCGTAACTCTTTAACCCCAATCATGTCTGCAGTCTCTGCAAGCATTTTGGGGCCCATCAGTTCCACAAAATCCTCAAAATCCACTCTGCCACCACCTAGAAGAAAGATAAATATGCATGCATAGTATATACAAGTAAATAACAAATTGGATTATTTACTGAAGATCCAGTGGTACAGAGTTAATTGTGCATGCATATAAGACAGAGCTTAGCAGACCCACGTCAATATGTTATAAACAGAAGTCATAATAAGAGCATATTTGTAGTGATGTGAAAATATCCAATGAAAACTGTCCACTGCAGCCATTAGCTGTGTTTAAGACATGTCTATAATTTAACTAGTTTATTTGTATCATCTGGCTTTATGCTTAATTAAAACTGTGTGTCATCTGCATAGGAATGAAAATGGAGTGTTTTATAATAATACTGTAAGGGAAGCATCTATAATGTAAAAAGTTATGGTCCTAGCACAGAACCCTGTGGGACTGTGATTAACATTTGCATGTGAGGAAGACTCACCATTTACATGCACAAACTATACTGCAGTGATTCAAACCACTGCAGGACAGTTCCTAAGAAGATGATTCATCATTCATATAATTCACTACACTATTTCTGTGCTATGATGCACTCAAAATCCTGACTGTAACTCTTCAAAGAAACCTTTTCAAAAGCTCATTTAACTACTTGACAGCTTTCAGGAATTTTGGAAATAAATAAGGTTATAAATGTGAAATGATGTAAGATTTATGTTTTAATTCATGGTAAAATGTCTTTGAGCAGTTTTGTAGGGTCTAGAAGACACATTGACACATTGCTGATATGAAGTTTACTCATATCAGCATTTAACAGAGATGCTGTACTTAATGACAGTACCAGTGAATATTTTTTTCTCCAATAGTTAAAAAGTTATTTGTAAAGAAATTAATTAAATCATTGCTAGTTAATGTAAGGAGAACATTTTGGCAGTTCATCAGACTTAACAGATTTACAGGTGAAGAAAGGACAAACAGACATTTTGGACATCAACTGCTTTGCAGTTCTGCTTTATCCTGGTGCTCCGTCACTGGTCTTCCGAGTGAAAGATTTTAGGGAATTACAGAATTATCTGTCTGTGTTCAGGACTCACAGATTTGCTGGCTGAGTTCGATAAGTTCCATCTCTGTTGGCATGTATCCCATAGTCCTCATGCACTCGCCCAGGTCCTTACAGCTGATGAAGCCGTCCTTATCTTTGTCAAATTCTCTGAAGGCCTCACGCAACTCTGCAAGTAGAACACATCAATACAGATTATGCGAAATATTTGCCGTTGGGCAAAAGTATGACAGAGTACATTTGCTTTCTTGAGAAAACAAGACACAGTTTCAGTCTCAGCTGCCCTGGATCAGTGAGTGTACATTGAGATGGGGATGGGGTATCTGTCTGAGAGTGCTTTTTTTAATACTTCCAAATTGCTTTAGTTTTTATTTGAACTATTTTTGACTTGTTGTTAGTATGACATAGTAAAAAAATAATTTTTCAATAATGTTTCACGGACTTCTCTGTTTTCTGTGACATGCTGGATACAATCTTTGGACCAAATAACTGATTTCTGTCTTATCAGTGCTTGAAGATGATCACAGTTTTTTGGCAACACCGTGCACTGTAAATATTCAATATTTTTTTGCATGAATATGATATTTTTGCCCCCAATAAAATTCTTTAAAACTTATGAAATACTTATGGTTGTTCATCATTATATCAATAAAAATGTAAAAACAGAAACTGAAGCTGCAAGGATTGTGAAAAATTATATTTTTAAATTGCTCCTGGGACTTTCTATTTCATTTGCAAACTTTTTATTTTTGCATCACTTTCTTATGAGGCATTCATGTTTTGAATGAGCTTTTAAACTTTCATCTCATTATTTATATGGAGCCTTTCTTTTTTCTTTCTTCTTCAATCTTCTTACAACATTATAACACTGAGTACTTTGCACTCTGCTGCCTGTTGTTTGTGAATAGTGTGACATGGATGATTGCAGTCCATATCCAAACTTGTCCAAATAAAATTAACCTGAACCTGAACAGATGGTGACACAGATCCCCCTGTCACCATTAAATCATTGCAGAAGAAATATATCAAGTTTCTACTACACTAAACCAAAGTCATAGAATCTATATTTAAAATAGAAATGACATTTTCATGTGCATGTACGCTGTTAAATTGTGAGCCACTACTGAGGAATAGAAGCGATGTATGAGTGGAAGTTAAATTGTGAAGGATTATTCCTCCCTGTGAAAGATAATCCTTCACTTTGTTCTTACACATTTCAATGCAAGACAGGGAAAGTAAAAAAAAAAATGTTCACAGTTAAACAGAAGGTTTGAAAGGAAGGTAGATGAAAAAGAACAGAGTGGAATGAATGGACTGAGAGACAAGGTGAGGATTAAGAATCTGGATTAAGAATCTGTACCTTCCATCTCTTCTGGTCGTAGATCTCTGTCCTGCAGTGGTGTGGAAGAAGAAAGGGCATAAATAAAGAGAAATGAATAGTCAGACAAGTTATACTTTGAATCTGCTCTATTTCAGTCACACAAAATGCTGGAAACATTTTTGCTTCTTGTGCTTTTACTCCTCCACTCCTCTCAATCCTGTGAAACATTTTGTTTGTTCTATGTTCATCTGCTCAGCCAGAGATTCTATTAGAGGATTATTGGGTTTTTGATCTGACTGACCCTAATAGCCTTTTTAGTTGAAAACTGCTGCTACCCAGCAGCATTCATGTCCAGTCTCATTCTGCCCCTTCTGTTTGAGAAAGTCTGCTGTGCATATGCTCCACAACAAGCTTTTGAAATACAATGTACTAACAGCAGATTCATAATGACATACCACCTAAAAGATCTACCTTCCAAACATGCAGCATGTCACAAAGTTATAAGAAAGAAAGAAAAACGAATTACATAATATGCTGAGTAAACTGGTGAAATATTGAATTGCCACTTTAAAAAATAAAGTGAAAATGAAATCATAGAAATAAGAGTGAGTTATGACTTAAACTAAAAATTAATGCAGTAACAAACACATGCATAATTTCTGTAGTGATTAATAAAATAGTCTAATTCTGATTCTGATTCAACATAAAACACCATTTACGGTTGTTGTTGAATTGGCTAAAGGAATGCAAGGTGACACCAGGATAAATTTGTACGTGATGTGTTCTTCGAGATTGTGACATCATCAGCAGGAATAATACAGCCCTGGATTAGAGGATGCAGGAGAGCGAACAGTGGCAGGGAGATTACAGCGGTAAATTGTATTACAAATCATGAAGGCTTATCGGTTTTTCATTTCTCTATCTGCCAGCAATTTTTTTTTCTTATCTGCATCTGCAGTCCAGCTGGCTTTTGATTAAACGAACATTAACACACCTGCACAGGCTGAACAGAAAAACGTGTACCACTTTTTTTTTTTTGTCGTACCTTTTGCTAAAATTTGTGACAGATTTATCCACAGACAAAGGCAACGGTTTTCTCCTACCTATGTTTTTTTTGTGGTCCATTACCAATCTACAACAGTTACTACTGCTAAATCGTGACTTTAGAAGACTGCAGAAACTGAGCAACAATAAAAGTTTGTGAAGGAAGGCATGTAGCATGACACAACAGGATGAAAATGCCACGAGATTTAGGTTTAAATCTTATGTGAGACAAGTTTTGCTTTCAGTCCTCGTTTGCTTAGGTTTAGCCAAAAAAAAACCCCCCAAAAAACCAAAAAACTTGATTGGGGTTCAAGTTATGGTTTGGGTTGAAATAAACCCGTTTACAAGATTAAGCACATGTTATAGAACTCAGTTTTATCAGTGTCAACAGTCCCCATCTAAAGTTAATAACGAGATTTCATATTTATTTATCTATTCATTCATATGCAAGAGAATTGACCTGGCCACTTTGAAATATAACTATGATGGTAGTTAAACTTACAGATAGCATTGCTAATACTGCTAAAAAAAAAAAGTATATAAAAATGAAGACAAAATATGAAGTCATGTTTTGTGAAGTTGCATTTTGGATTTTTGAACCCAGAGATGATGAACAACGTTGATCTGATTATGGAAACACAGACACTGTACACTCTTATGTTAGTGATTTGTCAACCCCAAGGTAGGCCTGCCCTAAAACACACCCTGCTTATTTGTGTATTATACCTTAATTAGGACTAAAATGTATAAGATGAACATTGTGTTGCAATTGTAGCTGTGCAATTGAGAAAATGAACTACAGAAAGCGTTTAAGAGGTCAGAGATCAAGTGTGTAACACAGTGACTGTAATGGACTTCATTATTAACAAACTTACTCTGTGCTGCTCACCATTAGAAAGACACTAACACATTGGCTTTCCTTTTTAGACTAGTCTATCTTTTATGTAGTCTTTACTCAAAATGACAATATTCTGATTTGATTAATTTAAGATTTGCTGAAGTTGGCTGGAAAATAAGTTTGCCTGTATTAACATAAGATTTTCAAAAATATCAAAATTTATCAAAATTATTTGCCTGTTTACACATTCGGCAGATTCAAAGCAACATTTTTTTTTATCACATAGTATGTAGTAATGTTTCTGAAAGACTAATGTTCACTCTTCTTTTAGCTTGTTTTTTGGTGTCTGACTGAAATATCAAGCTGTTTGTCTGCTGAATGCTCCACTACATGCACTTGATGGTTGCCTGCTGTGGCTGAAAATGTGGCATATGAAATGAGTGAGGCTGGATCAAGACATAGTCCAAACTCCTGAGGAAAATTACCTAGCATTTTAGCTGCTAAACACCTCACTATATTCATTAAGCACTTCCTTGTTGGTGCTGTGAAAGTGGTGTACAGAAGGTTTATCAGTGTATTTCCTCTGGAAACAGCTGTCCACTGCAGCTGGTGCAACTTGCGTGTCATAAAAGCAAAGCAATCAGCTAAAACGTCTTATAAATCTCAAGCGAACTGCAGAGACTGAGTGTGGAACTGCAAGGGACCACTTTCACATTAGACATAGCCATTTGTTCAATTTTTATCATATACTGCTTGCTGTGAAAGGCATGCTAATGTAGACTGCAAATTTAAACTGCGGTTGTCAATCAGTTGATAAACGAGACAGTGACTCTGCAAGGCTGTAGTTAAATATATCAATAGACTATTTCAAAACACACACCCAAAAAGATTTTTTAGGGTGAGAGGAGGGGTACAGCGCGGTCTGTTATACGGCTAACACAGAGAGACAGATTTTAGCATTCTCACAGAAACTCGCATTCACCTTACGACCAATACAGCAAAGACAATAGTATTTACATAACCACATTCTGAATACTCTTTTTTCATACTTTTACACTTCTTGCCCATTTTCACTTCAAATGGCATCCAGTATCACCTCGGATCATACACCACTGTTCTAGGAGTGCTTTTAAACTAGTTCCTTGTCTGTGTCATTTCCACTTTCCCCATGTATGACATTAATTTGTAATAAGAGGTGCGCATAGAAGATTCCAAGACTATAAAGGTACCTGAATCTGGACAATTTTTTGTGTCACGTATCAGGTCTCGTTATCATTATCCTTCTTTTATAGCTGTGAAAAAACGTAGTTTTATCCGTTTCAACAGTTTTTATTTCTTATTTCATTTTAATTATTTGCTAATTTTTTGTTTTTTGTTAGTTTTAGTTCGAGGCTTAGTGATTATTATCTTTTAATTATAATATGAAGTGTTTTTGTTCCATGGGTAGTCACAGCCTTTGATGTTTAGATGTCTATCTCACTAAGCTCAACTGACATGAGAATGACCAAAACACGTCCTTTCTCACATGTTTTTATTCAATTTACTTTGGCTATTTGTGTAAAAAGTAATTTCAGTGTACAATAACTTTACTCAAAATAGTAGAATACATATAAGTTTGTAAGTAAGAGGCCCTCAGAACATTTTAAAACATTTCTATAGATATGAATATAGGGTAAGTGGATGCAGTCACAGTTTGATTTCGTGATTGGTGGAGATGAAGGGCAGAGGAGCCGTGACGATGACCTCAGCTTCACCTTAACCTTCCTTTGGATGGCACTTTGGAAATGGATGGATGAAAGGATTTATGGGAGATTTTGGCAATGACAATTCTGGCAGTTCTGTATGTTTGTGTGGTGTGTGTTTGTAGTGTGGGTAAATACATACAAGCTGACTTTGGGCGAAGCCCTGTCTGAGGAAGATACATGCAGGCCCCACTATGTTATGCAGCATGTTGCAGTTCTTAACCAGAGCGCACAGGGGTTCATCAAACTCACGCTCGTTCCCTCCTTCCTCCTCATCCTCTGTGTCCATCTCCCCTGCATCACCCAGTCCCCCCAGCATGGCAGCAGCCAATGGGGTACCACTTTGTTCTATGGGTGACATTACCTTAGAGGAGAGGAACCAATCGGATTATGAAACACATAAAGATATTACCTAAATTTTGGCAAATTTGCCATTTTTTGTACTGTTACAGACATTTTCAATAGATTTATTTATTTTGTATATTGCAAATAAAAGCAAATTTGAAACGTCTCTTGTGTCAAGTAGAGATGAAATGGGAAATTGCTATGAAATCCTAGTTTTAGTTATCCAAGAACAACAAAATGTTTCCTTACCTTCTTCTTTTTACTGTTCTTTTTAGAAGTCTGGTTGGTGTTTCCCATCACCCTGCCCTCTTCTCCCTGTCTTCCCCCCTCCCTTCCCTCCTTGCTGGTCCTCACACTTCTCCAAAGTTTATCCTCCCCTTTTCCTCTTTCTCACCCTTCTCTGTTCAAACGTCACATGAAACTCCAAAATCCATACTAGATCCAATGCATCCTAGGTGGCAACGCCTTTTATCGCCCAGGAAGGAGGAGGGCAAATGTTTCCACTTGCACCTCTACTACAAAAAGCGACTCCTCTCAGTGCATGTGCTTCGGTCCCAGATCCTATTGGTCCAGTGGTGTGTATATGATGCCACATTCAGTCCTAAACTCCTATGGGTTGTTGGCGGCTGCCATGATGAGATTTGAAATGTTTACGGTGATATTATGGAATCGGGGCAGGGTGATGGAGATTGACGGGTTGGGGTGGGAGAGTTGGGTCATATCTGAGCTGAAACAACCCGCTGCGCCAGACTCTGGCTCTGATTGCATGACTCGACCATTTTCTCTCTCCCTTTCTATCCCTCTCTGTCGCTCTCTATCACACACAGACACGGGCATGCGCTCTGTTTTTCCCTTTATCTGTAACCCCGTTTTGCTACAAGTGATCCCTTGAATTTGGACCAACTTAATCTAATCCATCCCACCCACCTACCCCTCTCTCTCAAACAAACATCGTGCTTATGGTTTCCAAATGACTAGTCTGGCAAAGCTTTGTGTGTGTGTGTGTGTGTGTGTGTATGTCTCTAAGTCAGAAAGAGAGAGAGATAGAGAGAGAGGGAGGGAGGGGATGGTAGAATTATGGATGAAGAGTTGGCTGTCTGTTTAATCCCCAGCAGTTCAGATTAGAAGAAAAGAACTATGCTGACAGGCTACGAGAGCATGGAGCTGCAAGTAGAAGAAATAGAAGTTGAATATTTATTTTACACAACTAGTCACTGTGAGACAAAAAAAAAAAGGCAATTAAAAAAATTAAAACACACGGAGACATGCTGGGATAGAGAAAAGTGAAAAGAGAGGCACATAACAGTGCATGAGAAAACATTTTAGAAAGTAAAATTGCAGGGGTGTAAAATAAAACCAGTGAGTGTAACTGTATGATGTAAACTTCTGACTTAGTATAGACACTACCACAACAACTACTACTAGTGCTACTAAAAATAATTATAGCTTTATGAAATTGCTGATTATACTGATAATCATAACTGTGTTGCTCATGAAGCGGTGGGAGCATTGATGTGGTGCAGATGCTCACCTGCAGCATCTGTCTCTGAATGTAAGTCTTCACCATCATCTACCTTCTGCTCATCGGTGTCTGTGATTTTGCTGCTTGTCTGTTTATATTCTTGACTTTGATCTCAACCCTGATTAAGTAGAAGTTATATAAATAAAGTTCTCTAAAGCCACCAGATGGCACCAAAGATGGGGCCAGTGTTATTAATCTTGATGGAGTCTCGCTTCAGTCTTGTGGCACAATTGAAAAGCTTTTTTTTTTTTGGTATGAGGAATATGTTTAAGAAACTATCTTGTTATATCTGTGCTTTTAAAGATGATTCTCTTCACCACAGCTTTTTAATTGTTTCCCTTACAACTGCCCACCATCTATTATGTTCTAAAACCATCAAAGCTTATTCCTTTCCCTATAGAAATAAAAATACTGGTACTTGTTTTCTTAGGATCATTGTTTGATTATTTTGTCCAGTCCAATTCATCTACTGTTCTTTGTTGAAACCGAATCCCAGATGTGAAGCACTGTTGTTATATATACTGCATTTTTTAGATACATGTGTATTGGGTGTAATATGTGTGCCAGAGATTTACGCAGTTTGATGAAGGCTCATCGCTTGCAGCCTTAATCCTCTGTGGTCAGTTCAGGAGAACCAACACATTTTTTGTGTCTATCTACTTTCCCATGTATCTGGTCATTAGACCACCCATTTTCTTCCATCTGTTTCCTGAGTTTAACCTAGTTATCTTTTTCTCAAAATCCCATGTTTTTGATGCTGGTAATCTCTTCTGGGTTCACAAATTACTCCACAGTTACTTGTTATAAAGCAGTTTGTAAAACATTTTTTTACAAGACATAGTTTCAGCAATTTTTAATATGCCTATTATGTAAAATGCATTCCTAGACAACACTCTGCATTGCCTCAGTATTGCCAGTAGAGTGCAGCAAAGCTAGGTTGTTGAAAATAGTGGGATTAGACACACGCTTAACGGTAATACATATGCACTACCACTAGATGCCAGTATCATCCCTAACTATGGAGGACCCAAATCCATCATATTAGTAAAAGAAAAAAAAGCTACATTGTATCAAAAGAAGCAGTGGGATAGTGAGCATAGAGAGTGCTATAAAGAGCTAAAAAATAATCCAGTGAATGAAATCAAAAGTTAAATTAAAAGTCTCTTCATGCATGCTAGCGTAGCTCTCACGAGCTACACAAGAGATTGAATTCCTCTTAGTGCAATACACCCAAAGTGCAACAGTACAATTCCTAATCGAGAACTATTGTCTCTGGTATAAAATCTATTACTGAACCTCTACTGAAGTTTTTTCTAAAAGATATTGTAGCATCAACACCTCATTTCTTTAAAGAGACAAAGATGGACTAAATTGCTTGAAAAATCATACAAAATCAACACTGACACTGAGAGTCTTTATGCTTGCAGTCCAAATGAAACAGTTTTAATTTCAATTTTCAAATATTTCCCAAAGTGATTCCTGTAGTCTACCTCCCAATATTCTAAAGCATGGCAATCAGATGAAATCAAGATTTAATGAAATAGCGTATCATCGATCAATAATCAGCACTGCCTACAATAATGTTTTAAAATCTGAACTGCTTACACGTAAAATATCAACTGGAAAGAATAATTTTCTCCACTTAATTTAACTGCTGTCACAAGAAACTCAGAGACATTACTAATACTGACACATCTTAAAATCTGAGTGATGACTAAGTGGAATCACTGTGATTTTGAAGTGCTTGAACAATCAGAGATAATTGTAAACACACTTTTCAGCCTATCAAACCAAAACATACACGAAAGGAAACTTCAGATGTGGAAAATGCAGTGAGTGTAACAACAATTTAGATGTTAAGTAGAATATTCAAACAAGAGTTACAGAACTGGGCACATAGAGTCTGTCTTTGCCAAACACAACTATGAAGCCAATCATGGCTCTCCTGCTGCTCCTCCTGCTGTTCACTGGACTTGAACATGTAATTCTTTCTGCTATTTCTGCCAGGGAATTTTATCAAATAAATAGATGTTGGATCTCATCACTAAACACAATGACACCTGCTGGTTTGAATAATGATTTTTAGCTCAGATCTTCTCTGAATAAGTATATAAATGAAATGTAATAGTTGTGACGGCCAGTGGGCTGGCCTTGTGTTTTGCTTTTTCTTTTACCCGTTTCTTGCAGGTAGGTGGAGCTGACCCAATTAGTGATGCAACACCAGTCCCAGTGTATATAAAGACACCTTGACTGAACCAGCAGGCTGGCTTTGGCTCTGTCTCTCGCCGTCTGGCACCCATCTTGTTCATTTGGAAGTTTCAGTTATAGCTGTTATGTCCTTTAAATTGTCTTTAAGTTGCTTTACCTTATTTTCATTAAATATGTCTTACAGCCTTTAAAAGCCTGTGTGTGGTCTCCCTCTTAATTGTCACTTTCTATGAGCCGGGTTGTGACATAGTATAGAAAACTTTAACCCCGGCTGTATTCACTCTGCTCTGTTTTAAAATGTATGAAGGTCGTCACATGAGATCAGAAACAATGTCAGATTACTGTAAATGTTACAACCTTCAGTTTTGTTTCATGCTCTGATGAAGGCCACAAGGCAGAAATGCTAGCGTGTTTGTTGGCATGCCAAAAAATTGGTGAAATTGAGATTTTCCTGCTATTTCTTTGAAGCTTTGTGCTTGTGCTGCCTCTTAGGTAGTCATGCACAGATTACTTTAGATGAACTAGACCAATGAGTTCAAGTGGTATTGAAAAGCACCCAGAATACAGAACAGAGGTTCTTTTGCTCTCCAAACAACAACAAAAAAGAAGCGTTTCCACCATGCCTTCATCAGCAGCTTGGTGTGAGCACAAAGCCTTTCAGCCACAAAACCCTAAACAAAGCAGCTGGGTGAGAATTCATGTGCCATCCCTCGACAACTGCAAGCATACCAGATGCCTGAAAGACAAGGATGGAAGACAGGCCAACTGAAAATCCAGTGCTGGGCTGTAAACAGCATGATGGACAGATTCCAAAACCCAGGATTTTGCATGCTATGCAAACAGCTTTAGGGTGGGTCAGGTCAAACATTTTGCCATTTGAGATGGGGGATGTCTATGTGTATTTGCATGCCCACGTTTTGCACAATGACACACACACACACACAAAAGATCTCATAGTAAGGTCAGATGAGCAAAAAAGGGTGGTTTCCAATTTAAAATGTGCAGACACACAAGTTTATCACAAAACAAACAAACAAATAAAAAGCTAAAGAAAAATTGCTAAAACCGTTTTGAAGTCTTTCTTATATAAATAAGCTGCAGCCTGAACAACATCGGTGTCATCAACCCATTCTAGCATTCTGCACTTCTTACAAGTTTCTCACTGAATTAAAGACTGGGAATATGTATAGTACACTAAGCATGTTTGATGTCCCATCTTTAATGGAAACATTAAGAGTTCCTTTCTTCATTGGGTTTTTTCTATTCATCTATTTCTGTTTCTTTTCATACGTTTGACCTTCAATGTGCGATAATGTCTTGAGTTGTGGCTGAAGTTAAGCTAAATTGAGCTTAACCCTGTTGAACAAAGATAAGACTGAGCTGTAACACAAACATAGCTCACAGCAAACATATTAATGCGTGAAAATATATATCTGCGACAACACAACAATGGAGACAATTATTAAACTAAAAGAACTCACGCTCTGTTTTGAGTATTAGCACTTCCCATTCTATTACATTTCAAAGCGTAATTGTAGAGACAAATACCATTATGCAATAAGGAATCCAAACAGTGTTCTCTTTTTTTTTTTTTTTTTCCTGCCTGTCCCATTTGGTTCTTTAGCCATCAGAATTGTTGTCTGAAGACCAACAAGGATACCCAATGGATTTACTTTGCCAAATGGATCATCGTGGCATTGCCGTATTGGTCCATTTGGTCGATCTTTGTTTTTCAAACAGTGTTCTCTAGGTACAAAATAATACTTATGAAGTCAACTTAACTAACTGCATCAATGTACTTTAATGTAAGTGTGGCTGCAACAAATTGTGAGCCTTTTTGTCTCCATCTTATTTTATTGGTTTTACAAGCCACATTTTTACTTATAATTCACTCTAGACTTCCTGCTTACCACTAAAAGTCAGTCACAAACCCAGTAACTGACTATAAAACATACACTGCGCCTAGCAGACACTAGCTTGGGAACATAGTGGAGAAAAAAAAAGTAGAACGAGACTCATGTGGCTCCATGGGCCTGACCTCTGACAGTGATTTATCATTTTAGCCAGATCAATCTGTAGACGAATATGAATATGTCAGTTCTTCAGACCAGAATTTGGATCAGTTATCACAGCAGCTTGAGCATAAAGTTACATCGTCTCTGAGTCTTGTCTGTTTAAACAAGATTAAATGACAGAAAAAAATCTTTGTGGGAGGAAGTGGTTGCGACTTGTGCACTGATAAAACAAAGAACAATTCAAGTGGAAAAACTAGTGCATGATCATCATGTTTCTTTAGAGTATACTCTCGTATTACTGATTCAGTCAGGATAGAATAATACTATCTAATATGTCTTATATTAGCAAAACACATGGGGAGGTAAAAGTGTGATAAGAATACAACTGAAACCACAGTGTGACCTGTGATATGACAAAATATCATAATTAACTCATTTTACCTGATGTATGCTGCCTGCGTCTTAGAGGGCAAATTCCACCTTTATCACCCTTAAAGTGGTGCAATAATAGTGGCATTTTATTCTTATTTACTTTGAAAGGAGAGAGAATTTTAATGACATTCATTACCTAATAATTTCTTTGGTTGTTGTCAGAGTACCTGGGTTGTTGACCCAGTGTTTTCAGTTATGGAGCCTTTGTCAGTTTCCATGCCTTTTACCTGTTTTATTGTGTCAATCATCTGTCTGTGTGCAGCATTTTTTTTATTCTACTTCCTCTGTTTCATTAGTTAGATTTATCCCAGCTGTGTTCTCACCTGTTTCTGGCCATTATCATTATCCAGTCTAACCCCTCAGTTTCTTATCTTGTTGTTAAATAGTACAACTCCTCGAGTGTGTTCCCAGTTCAGTGTTCAGTTCACCTGTCAATATAATAAATCCATGAGTCCTCTTTCCATTTTTTCACACACTAGTGAGACAGTTGTAGCAGATAACTGACACTCCCTAAGCCTTGTTCCGCAGGAGGTTTGTTCCTGTTAAAAGGGAAGTTTTTCCTTCCAACTGTCACCAAGTGCTTGATTATAGGGGTCATCTGAATACTGTGTTATTTTATGCATTTGGTACATTATTGTATTATTTACAATACAATACTTTACAGTATGAAGTCATTCTTAGGCAAGTGTTGTTGGGATCTGGCACTTTAAAAATAAAATGGAATTGAATTGAACTGGGAGCAACTGAGATGTCATGTAAGAGTTTTAACAGAACTCGTTTCTTTTTTCCCCCTTCTTTTTGCTATTATTAACAGCTTCAGTACATGTCTCCACTAGCCTGTGATCAGATTTTTTATAACTGGCTCTGGCTTGCCTTTTGTGGCTTTGAAGAATTAAATATGTTGGATCAATGTTACCAGGAATAACTAAATGATGATCACCACATGAGCTTGGCTCTTTTATGGAATGTACGGTGAATTGGCTTAGTGATGCTTAAGCACACATTCATCAAAATCTCATGCTTTCTGTTTAAAAGGTTGGTAGACATGCTAATCAAACCTGAACTCAGTCCAAAATTGCAGCAGCACTGTGCTGACAGGAGGAATATAACATGCTGGTGTAGTCAGTAAAGGATTCCCATTTAACCTGACATCATTTTACAGGCTGCGACCACATATGGCTGTCTGGATTGTCCCACATTCTCTGCTCTCATTCTCGCACTTACCCACTCCCAAAAGGAGGATAATGCCTTTTGCACCTGTCCAGATATTATTTCTGCATTTTCATGTGACCTAAAAGTTAAATGTGGCTGTCCTGTTAAATTAAATCAAAGACTTCTCTTACAAACAAAAATAAGGGTCAGAAAGTCACAGTAATGTCGGAATATGTGTTTGCTGGATTGTTGTTGTTTTTTGAATAGTGAACAACTGTTGCTGCTTTGCCCCAGTGGAAATAGAACAACAGTTAACCCACTTATAAAGCAGTTTTCTAAAGCTGTGCTGGTTATTATACCAATGTCCTCGTTGCTTTGTTAAAAATGTTGACCAGTTCAGAAAACTGAGTGTGTGATTTTTAACATATATCAGAAATAAAGGTGTAGTTTTTACTGTTTCGTGATATTATGACGTAAAGCTGCAGCTGTAGCATTTCGTCTTTCATCTTTCAAATATAGCAAATGTGTTTGATCATTCAGAAGTGAGATAATACAATATTTTTCAAAGCCACTGAATACTAAGTTACTAATACTAATTACCAGAAATGTGTGGAGTGGTGTAAATTAGACCCTATAAAACGGCTATTCACACATACTGGGTAAATAATGGATGTACTGTTATACAGTGTTTCCTTGCTGTTCAGTTATGCCTTCATGCAAGTGAGGTGTGGAATCTTGTTTGCTAGAATATATTAGTTTAAAAAGAAGGCCAGCTAATCACTGGCATTTGCTAACATTTCAGTTAGAGGATAAATTTTAGGATTTATTGAAATAATTTTTTTTCTTTCTATGGTTTCATGTGGTGGATGTATGTGACATGTGCATGATATTTGGATTTTGCCTACATATGAAATGAGTTGTTGATTAACTTCTTTCAATTCCTCACTCAAATAAAGCTCTCAATATAATTATAATTATTTGCTGTTTTTCTGTAATTAAGTACACCTTATACAGTTAAAAAAACATTCAAACTTTTAAACGCATTTATAAAAAGAAGTAAATAAATAATCCCTGAATATGTGCACAATGTATCTCCTCAGTCAGTGTCTTTGTGATTCCTGGTTCTTAGGCTTGTTCCCTGGCCTTCCGTGGAAGTGTGTCGTGTCTCTAGTATAGGTTTTGTTCTGTCTATACGTTTAGTCATCTGTCTTCCCGGTCAGCTGTCTCCTTGGTCTGCGTTTCCATGCCTGTTCTGGGTTTTCCTGTCTTATTTTGATAGTCCTTGTCCTATGTCAGTGTTTTCTGCTTTGCTTTCTCCGTCTGATTACTCTCCTGTTTCCCATTCCCTCATTACCTTCTGTATGTATATATATCGTGTTTCCTTCGGTCCCTGGTCGATCTGTCTGCCTCTTTATTTCAATAATAACGTATACTTTATTGATCCGCGTGGGGAAATTCCTCTCTGCATTTAACCCAGTGAAGCAGTGGGCAGCCATTGGGGGCCCAGGGAGCAGTGTGTAGGGACGATACCTTGCTCAGGGGTACCTCAGGGTAGCTGTTCAGGGGAATCAAACCCCCGACCTTACGAAACCACCACTCTACCTACTGAGGTATCCTTGCCCTTTTCCTTACCTCGTTCCTTGCCTTAACTCGCCGTCTTCAGGTCATTTGTTATTCTTAGCTTTTCCCAGTTTCGTTTTTTTGTTAGTTTCTCTGTACCTCCAGTCGTGTTACTGTTTCTTTGTATTTTTTCACCGCCAAAATAAAGGCTCTCCTTTTGTTATTATTTGCCCTTGCCACCGTGCCTGCATTTGGGTCCACATTGTATTTGCCAATCACTGTTCAGTTCTGCATTTTCTTGTCCACTTGAACAAGCCCAACACCCCCTGCATCCCCACATAGCTGGAACACATACGTGTAGCTCTCCTCATGCCATGACGTCTGCTTCGCCAGACGTGACATTTTAGCACTGATGTTGGACTAAACTACATCTGTCTGCTCAAAGTTTAGTTCCTTCATTCTAGCTCTAATCTCGCTTTATGTTGCAATAGGTCTCTTCTTTCTTCCTTTATTACATTCAACTGTCATTCACTCTCAAGCCTTTATCCCAGACCCAGACATCCAGTAATTCATTATTCAGTCAGTCTGTTGCTCAGTGTATGGATGACTCATCTGAATAATGAGAACTGGAGATGAAACTAAGAAAAAAAAGGGGAAATATAAAAACATGTCAAAACACAGCCTAGTTTTCTTTTCAGATGGCTTTAAAGAACATTTAATGATTGTTAGTTTATGACTCTAATCCCAGGTGACCTTTTTGACCACTGATCAAAACTGTGTTGCAATTGGTATAGCTATTTCTGCCATTCTCTTTTTCTAATTAAAATGCCACTCAACATCCCCAATAACTAATAAACCTAAAAGGTTTGCAATTTAACAAAGGAAGGCACAACGCAGGATTATCATTTGTGCCTCAGAACTGTTATTTTGTTTAAATTTAAACACATTTGATTGCTTGAACTACTGTAAAGCAGAGTTTGCCTTTCATGTTAAAAGGGTACAGGGTACACAAGGGTACAGTTAGTCATCATCAGGGATTTATTTTTTAAGGTAAAAGAAATTCCTGTGATGCTTTTACATTTCTCCCATATACAACAAAAAAGCAAACCTGTTGTCAGGACACCTCTAAACAAGGTCAGCTCTAATCTTTCCATTATAATCCGTGGAGGTTTTTTGAAACCTTCCCAGGAAGTGTATTATTGTTATTATTATTATTATTATTATTATTATTATTATTATTATTATTATTATTATTATTAAGGTTGGGTAAACTGGCTCCATATGCACTGGTTCCAGCTGTTTCTGCCAAATAGTTTTGGTGTCTGAAAGAAGCTACACAGGCAAAAGAAATATTTTATATATATGAGAATATAAATAACAAGCTTTCGTCTTTTCTTCAGTAACACCACAAACATAAACAGGAAGTGGATGAA